CMARKTKSCYYSAAASMCYATCCAAMCTGSCCTGAAASACTTCCAGGGAKGGRACAGCCAAAGCTGCTCTGGACAATCTGTGCCAGTGTCTCACCACCCTCATAGGAAAGAACTTCTTGTCCTTCTGGGGATGACGGGACCTTGCAGAGGCTTCACTCTTCAGGAAGGATCTCAGAGCAACTCTTGTTACATTAGACACAGGAACCCTTCTGTGAGGGGGTATTCCCATTTGAGGGAAACCAAAGCTGCTGTTGAGACCCACATGTTTCAGGCCCCTTGATATGACTCTGGCCTGGGGACACTCCATCATGAACTCACCCCRATGGTTGAGGCCATGTAATCCGCACACATCTCAGCAAAGTCCCGTTCCAGCACTCCATAGTAAAGACCGTAGAAGAGAAGGGAGATGCCAAAGTCCATTGCATCTTCTGGTTTAATTCTACAACAGAAAAACCATCCYGTCAAGAGAGTTTCTTTTGAGGGCAAAGCCACTTTAACCATATTCCAGAGAATGTATTATTCCAGAGAAGCAGTTGACCTGTCTAAACATGAAGCCAGTTTGGACTAGAGTCCTCTGCCACAACCTGTGGGCTGGCTGCTTCCTGCAGATATCTCTTCATCTGTATAGCTAAGAAAATGCCACTGCTGCCCCCAGGCTGGACACCACAGAGCAGGGGGAGCTGCCAACAAGTGAGCTAGAAGGAGGGCTCTCCAGYAACCTGGACTAGAGTTCAGGTACAAACACCTCATCTGTGATCCTCCCAGAAGCAAAAGGACATCCCAGTAGGTCTCTTTGGCCCCATTAATCAAATTACCAAGTAAATTTTTTTTCCAGAATAATAGCCACAGGTGTGTTCCACCTCATCACTCCAGGAGTGGGACCTGAAAGATTCACTTACCTGAATAATAAGTTAAGACCAAAAAGCGTAAACATGACGGCCATGTACCCCACGATCCCAGTAGCATAGCTGATCTTGTATATTAGTAGAAACCATTTATAAACCAGCCTGTAAAGAATTAAAACAAAGAGTTCAATTACTTCATGTTTTCCTGAATGAATATGTGCATATCACCTGAGGAGTTTAGTTTTTCACACCTGTAGTGTTTTTGAGACACTTCATCTATCCCTACACATGGRCAAGAGCTTTACATTCCTAATTCAATGGGCTGCTCACAGTCTTGACTTCCAAACTAGAAAGCTCATGACCTCTGAAGGCTGTAAGGAGGCCTGCTGCATGCTGGGAATGCCCTGGGTGAGAGACCAGCCCACATGGACTCCACCTTTCCACCCCCACCCAGGTATCAGGTGTACTGGGCTGGCTGCCAGCAGCTAGTTAAGTGCTTCACACCCCTTCATATGTACAGGGCCCTCACACTCCCAGGGGACAAAGTTTAATACACTTTTATCTGTGGCGGGGAAACTGGAAAGAGTTTTTTTGTAATGGTTACCCTGGAGCTGAGGAGTTTCCCCAGGAACAGGCAGACGAACCTGGGTGTTGTCTGTACCAGAGGCTTTCGAGTTGCCCTGAAGGTGACAAAAGCTGTGACTGCTGAAAAGAGCACCCAGATCACCAGGAACCGCCACCAGTTCAGCTTGATCGTGAAATACAGAGGCACTACCCACATCTGGAAGAGGGTCACCATCTGCAGGAACAGAAGGAAGGCACTTGGAGATGGTTGTCTGCTCCTCARATATCAGAAACACCCTGTCAGTCATGGCAGTCTTTCTCCTGTCTGCATCAAATGGCCCTGAATCGTACCAGSAACCTGGGGAGATTTGACCTGTGGCACCTAGAGAAAAGCTCAAAGCTCAGCTGAGGGCATGAGTCAGATAGGGAGCAACTGAGGGAGCTGGGGAGGCTCAGCCTGGAGAAGAGGAAGCTCAGGAAGGACTTTCCTGCAGCTTTCAGGTAGCTTTCTGCAGCTACCTGAAAGGAAGTTATAGCCAGGTGGGGCTCAGTCTGTGCTCCCAGGTAACAAGTGACAGGACATTAGGAAAAGGCCTCAAGTCTTGCCAGAGAAAAGGGTTGGAYATTGGGAAAATTTATTCCCAGAAAAGGTGGTGAAACCCCAGCACAGGCTGCCGGGGGCAGTGATGGAGTCACCATCCCTGGAGGTATTTAAAAGCTGTGTGGATGGGGCACTTGGGGACASGGCTTAGTGTAGGGCTTGGCAGTGCTCGAGAACAGTTGGACTCAATGATCTCCGAGGGCTTTTCCAACCCAAACAGTTCTGCGATTTTGTGAGGGAAGCAGCCAGGTGATTTTTGATAGCAAAGGGTACCGCTGGAGGGATGTATTGGGTCTGACTGAGGTACAGCTCAAGCCCTTCCAGTGCTGTGCTTTGMATGAGTGGCTGGAYGGGAGCTGATAACAGAGCAGTGTTTTGGCTATTGCCAAGCAGTGCTGTCCCTCTGACAYTCCTTCCCCCTCAAAGGGATGGGMRTGKGKAAGATCCTGGGAGGGGACAKGACTAGGCCAGCTGACCCGAATCAACCAAAGGGATATTCCATACCATATGACATCAGCTCAGATATATAAATGAGGAGAGAGAGAAGGAAGGGGGGGCATTCATGAGTTTTCAATGTTTGCCTTCCGGAGCAACCACTACCCGTGCTGAAGCCCTGCTTCCCGGGAAGTGCCCGAACAAYGCTGCTAATGGGAAGTAGAGATCGATTCTTTCTTTTTTACCTTTAGCTTTTGCGCRCGCAAGTCTTTRCTTATATTTTGTATCTTTGCTGTAATAAAACTACTTTATCTCACCCTGCTGGCTGTTCGCCATCTTACTTCCCCCTGTCTCAGAGGGAAAGGGAGACCTAGTAGGTACTGGCATCCAGCCAGGATCAACCCACAACAAGGGAGRATGCAGAGGAATCATCTCCAGAAGGAATGCATGGGAGATGATCCACACAACTAGCTGTTGTAAGGCAGCTACATAAAGCTTCACCTTCCCAGCGTCCCAATGCTGCAACCACAGACACCTCAGACAGATATTACACAAGCAAGAAGGTTTTGGCTCTCCTCTGCACTACAGCCTATTCCTGAAAGGATCTACAGCTGTGCAGTGAGCTCCCATGGTGCTGCTGGAGGGAAACWGGCAAACAGGATTGGTTTAAAGTTCACAGAGGATTACAGGTCCTACCTGGAAACAGTAATTACAATATTATTATCATCATTGTTATTATGACAAGGGAGTCAGAGTGAAGTTAGTTCAGGTAACTGATCCAGACAAGCTCGTGGCATCAGCCATTAGCAGGTCTGTTCAGCAGAGTGCTGCAGGAACCATCAAACCCAGGCTGCCAGCAGCAAGAAACCCTCATTGCTGCCAAGGAAGCACCCACAAATGCAGTTTCCCTCAGGACAACACCCAGGATCTGCTTGTCCATCCCTGATGTCAAAACACCATGTCACACTGACTTATTGGCATCACTTCCACAGAAACCTGAGGCCTTCAGGCCTTCAACACCAGACAACAGGAAAAGCGAAAGGAAGGCACTACTCAACACTCACATCCAGTGTTGAAGGCAGAAAAGCTGTGGGGCTAACTTACATTGTAGGAGCGAGGGTGCCGCTGCTTCCACTGAACCAGGAGGAGCTGTGCCACCACAAGCGTGGCGATGAGGATGAGGACCATTTCGGCATGCATCGCCTCGTGCCCACGGTGCTTGGCATGCATCCGTACATGTTCCACCCTGCAACACCCAGGAAAAGGCAGCTGCAAAGGATGCTGGCACAGACTGCACGATGGGAGACAAACACCTCGGGGAACCAGGAAGACCAGATGGGAAAACAGTTCTAAGAATTGTGGCTGTGGACARTTCAGAGGAGAAGGGACAAAAAGCTGCTCTGGGACCAGCTCATTTCTATGCTGTGAAAGCCAAGAACAGTATCTTGCCCATCTGAACGTGAAGGAGGTGGAGAACTCCCAGTGATGTACCTGGACTAATGATCATGGAGTGCACGGTCCACATAACTCACAATCCCAGAATGGGCAAGGTTAGAAGGGACCACCAGTAGGGTCATCTCTTTCAACGTTTCTAATCAAGCAGGGTCTTTCCAGAGTATATCACAACTGTTTGACCAAGCGTATGTGCTAATTCTCAATATCAAACCTCAGCCCAGCTTCGGAACCACTAATACTGTTCTTCCTCTTGTCCAACAAGGTAAAGGCTGGAAGGGTCGGGGGTGGGGAGGAACAGCTGACATCTGGCAAAACCCCCAAACCCTAGCAAATTGTGTCTCTCCACCCTGAGCATGCTGGAACAAGTGTTTTCCAGACTGAYACTTGCCAGACACCTGGGATTTCTTTGCCCAACTTGTGCTGTTTGACCAAAAAACAACRTGGAACTAAGAGCTGTGACATCCTTACRTSTTGGTCTCCAGGTGATAATACTGTTCAAGAAATTAGAAGAATAAAAATCCAAACCCAACCAATATGSCAAATTCTCTAATTTTAAGTAATTCTTTAGAAACTAATACAGAAAAACAAAATCAGGTTGGAAGGCACCACAGTGGGTCATCTGGTCCAACCTCCCTGCTCAGGTAGGATCATACTAGAGCATTAAAGCACAGGATTGCATCCAGATGGTTCTGGAATATCTCCAGTGAGGGAGACTCCACATCCTTTCTGAGCAATCTGTTCTAGTGCTCAGCCACTACACAGGAAAGYGTGTGTTCCTCATGTTCAGAAGGAATTTCCTGTGCATCTGTTTCTAGCCATTGCCTCTTGTCTCATTGCTGGGCACCACCGAGCAGAATATGGTCCATGCTGTGACCCCTCCCTGCAGACACTGACAGACAGGGATGGGGTCCCCTCTCAGCTCTCTATTCACAAGGCTGAACAGGCTCAGCTCCCTCAGCCTTTCCTCATGAGAGAGATGCTCCAATCCCTTCATCATCTCTGTAACGTCCACTGGGCCTGTTCCAGGAGCTCCACGTCTCTCTTGTCCTCAGGAGCTCACAACTCGATATGGCTCTCCAGAGGTGCCTCACCAGGGCTGAGCAGAGGGACAAGATCACCTCCCTTGACCTGCTGGCAATATTCTTCCCAATGCACCCCAGGATCCCACTGGCCTCTTTGGCCRTCAGAGCACTGCTGGCTCAGGGATAGTTTGTTCTCCACCACGGCTCTGAGGCCCTTCTCTGTAAAGCTGCTCAGYAAGTTGGCACCCAGTCTGTGCTGGTGCAATACTGAGAGTCCAGTCTCACTGTGATTTGCAATAAGCATTAAATTGTTTTTGCTAAGAGAAAAGAAGGAAATTTTTTGGCCCCTTACTCTAAGACAGACACTGAGGAGCTGGAGGGTGWCCAGAGAAGGGCAAGAGCTGGAGAAAAGTCAAGAGSACAAGTCTGGTGAGGAGTGGCTGMGGGAGCTGGGGGGACTCAGCCTGGACAAAAGGAAGCTTGAGGGAGGGGATTTTCTTGCTYTCTTCAGCTCCCTGRCAGGAGGGTGGAGCCAGGTGGGGGTTGGGTTCTTCTTCCAGGTAACAAGTGACAGCACAAGAGAAAAYGGCCTCGGGTTGTGCCAGGGGAGATTTAGGATGGACATTGGGAAAAATTCYACACAGCAAGAGCTGTSCAGCCCAGGCAYAGGCTGCCCAGGGCAGTGGTGGAGTCCCCATCCCTGGAGGSATTTAACAGACATGTGGCACCTGGGGCACATGGTTTAGTGGTGGTCTTGGCAGTGCTTGGGGAACATTTGGACTACGATCTCAGARGGCTTTTCTGACSTAAACTATTCTGTGATTYTATATATAGCAATAGTTTAAAAGAAAAAAACATTGATATTGCTTTTCAAGACAATTCATACTTCTCCCCAAGAAAAAATGCTGACCCTCTCCTGCCCCACTGCGAACACAGGCTGTGCTGCTTCCAGCAAGAACTCACTTGAGCTATAGGCACCAAGTCACTTCCCAAAACACTCACCTCCATCTCTCCTCTGGGGACAAATGTGTAAGATCAACCTAGGGAGAAAAAAACACACCCATTAAATCATCCACTGGGAAACTCTGGATTTAGATGCTTAAAATAATAAACCTCGACATGCTCACAGTGCCAGAAGAGCCCAGAGCTGTCCTTCACCTTCCCAGGCAGAGTGGGAAGAGCAGCGACTCCCCCTGTTCCTCCGCCACTTACACTCCCTTATTTTATTGGACTGAGCCTCTGTCCACCATCCCTTGCCACCAGAACCAGAGAACTGGCTTAAATCCCATATTCACACTTCAGCCAGGGGCCTCAGGACACAGAGTGGTGATCTCAGTGCAGCCAGTGCTCCCACCAGTGGTAGGAGTGCAAAATCCTACCGGGCTGCAGGACAGGGGACAGTGTGCCACACACCAGCAACAAAAGTATGGCACAAACCAGTCCCAAAAGGATTTCAAAATCACAGAGAAAGGAAAATTTAGGCCTTGCATTGCTGAGGTAGCTGCAAATTCCTCTCAAACGTTACAGGCAGGAGCTACCAAGAGCAAGAGGAGCTGCTGTTATTAGTGAGGATTGACAATGGATATATGTATCCCATCTTCTCCAGTAAGATTCACAGAAAGTATGAATACTCTCACTTTTGGACAGGGAAGGAGTAAGGGGAGTTTCAACGCTACATTTCAGCTTTCACTTGAAGTTTTATACAGAACTGTAGAACCACAGAATGGTGTGTGTTGSAGAGACCTTAAAGCTCAYCTCACTCCAATCCTCCTGCMATAGGRACACCTCCACTAGACCAGGTTTCTCCAAGCGCCATCKAACCAGCTCTTGAACATCTCCAGGRATGGGGCATTCACAGCTTCTCTGGGTGAAACCCTCCCTCGATATCTTCATCTAGCTGCTGAGAAGCCTACAGCACTGAGGATTACAGTCCCCACATGGGCTCACTGACCAGGCACCACACCCTGACCCATGGCACTGGGAAGGGAATCCCATAGCTCTTCCCCCAGCTTCTTCACCTTTTCTTGGTGAGGCACAAACTCAGATTAAATCAAGAACGGCTCATCTGGGCTGGGAACATACATGTGGGATTTACAAATCCTCATAGTGCTAGACACACTTCAGCACTGCTGAGGTGTTGGAAAGGGTAGTTGGAAACAAGCCATAGCAMGGACTGTTATCACTCCTTCTTGCACACACTGGAGACATGTACACAGAAATGAGCTCCACCTTGCTCCACTGGGTACAGGGCCACGGGCTTGACTTCAACCTTTACACCAGGGCTCTCCCCAGGCTGCTGCAGCAGTAACCTCCCCTGCCTGGTCACCACCACCAGCACACAGGTGTCTCCCAGGCAGCAGCTCTGAYCACAGCCAGGCTCAGCTGAGGATGTGCAGCTGCCTTGCTTCCTCTGTGGCACCCAATTATACCCCAGGGTGAGGAGGCAGGGAAAAACACATGGCAGCAATCCTCCTGCCTGATGTGGAACATCTGCTGAGCTTCACCCCAGAGYAACACCTGTGAGAAATTCAGCCCTTGAGAATCAGGTCCTGAAGAAATACTTCAGGACTTAGATGCAAAATCTAGAGGTAYGAAAATCCTTGTTGGAGCTCACCAGCTTGCATCAGAGGCTGAGGGAAGGTGGTGACAACCTGACACTGAGAAGGATGTTTGTATCAACYAAATTCCCTGAGTACCTCTGCTCCTAAAGTAGCCATGTCCAGATTCACCAGTTCAGAAGCTGTGATGCAATCTGGAGCAAGAACTGCTCCAAATAAACAGGAAAAAAAAAGGAGATTTTAAAATGTTCACTGGTCACTGCACACAGGGGAAGCTGAGAAACCCCAAGCACCTGTTGGGTCCCTCACAGGTCAATCCCTCTGCAAGCTCTGGGAGTTACCCAGGTGCTCCCACTCCCTTCCCCCCAGGAGATCCCCATTCCTTCCAGGCTCTGCGCCCATCCTGGTTGGATGAAGATGTTTGACAAGCACCTTCTGACCACAGCAATTATTTTTATTCCTATACCCAGCAGCCACTCCATCYACAGGGCTGGTCCTATCTTAGAGACTGGGGACACTTCCCAGCCTCTTTCATCATTTTCCCTGAGTTTCCAAATTTTTCCAGCAAATGAACTCAAGCCACGTCAGCCCCAAACCCAGTGGAAATCCTGCTGGCATTGCACAGGGAGGGCTTCTTCCAAGCTGTGCTCCCAAGCCAATCAGGGATCCATGGCCCTGGACACAATTTTCTCTCAGTTACAAGGACTGAGTTTCACCAGATTCCCCAGAGCTCAAAGCTCCTGAAATAACTTTACCGGGGTGGGGGGATGACAGGACGTGACAGAAGGGACATTGGGAGGGATCTGATGACTGTCAGACAGGACTTGGCAGARCAGCCACCCAGAGTCAGACCTTCCAACTAACCCGTTATTTATCTGCACACTCTCTTAGCACAGAAGTTTTGGATTGGGGGTAAAAATGCACAGCAATGGCAAAGGAAGCACCTGTTCTTGCTAGTGAGCATTCATTCCACTTCTAGTTAGGGGTTGTCTTATTTTAACATGCAGGTTTGGGGTCTTTCAGGCTTTTTGKGTCTCTTTCTAACACCAACAGCTAGGTAAAAGAACCTCCACTCCTAAATCTTTCTTTACCRAGAGGGGTTTGACAAGAACACTTTGACTGAAGCAGCTGAAGATCAGCTTTACCAGGTGTTGAYCACTAGCCCACTCCTGTTTCATTCTCCTCCAGCTGCCACACCAACACAGGAYGCAGTGTGCAATCAACCACAGCTCTTAGACAAACATTTTGTTAAAAAAAAGGAATTAAGAACAATTCTTCTGCTCTCTGTCTCTTCATGAGAGATAAACCATGTAACTCATGATCCTCTCAAAAAACCCAGCCTCCTCTGGGTGATGACTAGGAGACACTGGATATCTAGGACTAAAGTCTAATCCTCTCCTCAGACGTGGTACAATGGCCTTTGGAAGGGAGGGTGACAATACCCAGTTTTCTACAGGGGCTGATGCTCCAAAGCCTCYACAAACCTGCAATTCCCCACCACTGGGGCAGTCAAGGAATAAACCCCTCTAGGAAAACACGAAGGATGTTGATATGGGTAACACCAAATCTGGAGCCACATGTTCCTCACAGCCCAGGGAGCTGGGGGGATCTCCAGACAAACACACACACCGCTGTGAGCCGGCTGTAATCTCCTTATGCTCTAAATCTCCAAAGAAGGCAAGAAGAATGCCTTGAGGATGGAGAATAAGCAGCTGCTGATTTTAGTTCAAAGTTCCAAAGCAACTGACAGTCTTGATCTCACCTCTCCCATAGCCCCAACCTCAGTCTTTATCTCTCAACACCTACCAGGAATAATCTGAATTAAGGGTAAAATAAACCTCCACAGCACTGTAAGCCCAGCCAAGGCAGACTGGGACGAGGCACAGTCTTTAGTGAAAGTCTAAAGAGGTTTTGTTATCTCAATTCAGCATTTTTTCGGCTCGTAAGACAGCACAGGAACAAGGAGCACGAGGGGAAATGTCCCAACTGATCAAACAATTGGATAATTGGAAATTAAACCTTTTCCACCCCAGAGAGGCTCTGCAGAGCCAGTGCCACTGCTTTACTCCAGTGGAATGGTAAACTGCTTTCGGGTCCCCATCATGAGTGGCTCATCAGCAACCTGCTCTGCCCAAAGAGTTGCCAACATCTCAGGACAACAAACAGATGGGTTTCGTACCAAAAATTTGCGGAATCACAGGACAAGCTCAGTCCGATATTCACCTCCTCATTTGCTGCCTCCTTGTAACGCCCTCTCTCTCAGCCCGATGGAATGAAAAATGGAAATTTCACTTCTGAGGATCAGAGATTTGGATCTTGCACATTTTCAGATACAAAGTCACCAATGAGTATCTTAAAATATAATCAGTAGCAACTCAAGAGTGACTGATCTGTGGTTTAATACTCCCATCATCCCACTGCACCCACTCTCCAGCAGCAACACAGGGCACAGGGAGAAGGGACAATCTCCAACAGTTCATCCATACACAAGGGAATTTCCACAGCTTGGCCCTGCCAGGAATCTTCTCCAAAACAACCATCAGGATCTGAGAATTTTTAAGTCACACCACCAAWTCTTGAGGAAAAGCACAAAAAAATACCGGACTGTACCAGCTAAGTGACTTATGCCCYCTGTGCTGCTGCTCCCACAGTGCAGACAGGTGGAACCTGGTTCTCTACAAGTGGAAGAAAAACTCACAAACACGAAGCACAAAGGAGAGTGAAGAGCCACTGCAAAGCCCAGGGCAGCAGCGCTGGAACGTGGCACGAGCACCGTGGCAGACACCCACCTTGCTTCTAATTCCGTCTTTCCAAAAACATATTCATTCTCCAGCTTTGTAATTTTTCATTCCTAGGACCATTTGAAAGCCAGCATGGGAACAACAGCTGAGTCTCCGTCCCTGCATTTTTGCCCTCAGGACCTCCACTGTCCCATGGGCTCTCCGAAGGTCCCAGTGCCACCCCATCCCAGGACCCTCAATGTCTTCCTGCACCGAAGATCTSCCCCAGCCCTAACTCTCCCCACACCTACTTGCCCCAAGCTCTACAAGCTCAGAGTGACCCAGAGCCGCCGCCGTATCATTTCAGGGACCCTCAGAAATCCTCAACGCATACCCCTACCCCGCTCCTCCGGACCCCCAGGCCCCGCGTCCGCTGCGGCTCCCCTCCAAAGAGCCCCCCACAGCGCTGAAGCTCCCAGCCCCGCAGCCCTCCCCTGCCCTGCCCGGTTCCCCTCGGCCCGGCCCCCACCGTCCCCAGCCCGCGCACCTCATCCACCTCACGCTCAACGGGGCCGCCAACCTCCACCTCCAGCACAGCCGCCATCTTGCCCCGCCCCCCCAGTRGCCAGCTCCTTCCGCCACCGTCCGCCAATCAGCGGGCAAGCGGCCGCACCTTGGGCCAATCGCGAGGCGCGGCGCTGCCCCGAAGGCCAATCAGGAGAGGGGAGGAGTGGAASAGCTGCCAGACACGCCGGTTCGGGCGCATAAAAGCGGTGAGCTGTCAGGGCTAGGGAGCGTCTGCTATTTCCAGGCCTCCGGGGGTACGTGTAACCCCCGTTGGCAGCACCGAACGCACCGGCCATCATGCACCGCGGTGCTAACAGTGTCAGTGCCGCCAGGCCGTCGCCCTTATCCCCGCCGCCTCTTTCTTTCCGCCACCGCCTCGCGCTGCTCCGGAGAGGGCGTACGTGGCAGGGGTKCCTGAGCTCCGCCCCCGCGGGACGGTAGCGCGGCATTGCCCGGGGACTACATGTCCCGTCAGGCACCGCGGCGGGCCGGGGTCCGAACCGGGCCGGGGCTGGAGCGAGGTGGGGCGGGCTGTGAGGGGCGGGAAGCGGCCCACGGGCTCAGGGTTCACAGGATTTGGGCGGCGGGAGGTTCAGGSGGCGGCTTCAGGATCGGTGCGATTGGAGTTGGGGGGTGAAGGGCTGGGTAGCACTGGGCTGGGGAATGGCGTGGAGAGGCTGTGGGGCAGAGCTAGGGGTTTAATGGGGCTGGGAAATTGGGGAAGGACTAGGAGGCGATAGCAAAGCAGCTCTGGGGTGTTAYTTGTGGGTCTGGAAGCACGGGCGTGGACCTGAAGGGAGTTGTAGGGAAGGACTTGAGGGCACTGGAGGGACAGAATAGGGCTGGGATTTGTGGGCTGGATGTGGGCACCACCCGTGTGGTGGAATGGGGTGGGAGTGGGGGGATGTGGGGTGAGCTGGGGGCACAGGGCTTGGGGGATTGTGGGTCAGAGATGAGAGTTACTGCTGGGGCAAAGCAAGGCTGAGGGGTGGTGGGGCAGATCTGGGGAGCACTGAGGTGGTGGGATGGGACTGGGAAGCTACTCAATGGTTCCAGAGCCAGGAGATGCCCAGGCCCATCAGACTGTTCTCTCTCCCGACCAGGCACTGGAGGGATCCGAAGAGAAGTTACGTTCTGGCAGTGTTGTCTCCAGAGGATCCTGAATGGCTCCTGTTAAAATCAGCTGTGTGGTGTCCTTCTCCTCCCAGGTGCCTGAGGGTTTCCTCTGGAGGGTCTGGGTGCAGGGGTGACCCCCTGAGCTGCTGGGGTCTCTGGAGATGTGGGTCAGGGTGTGACAGGGTGCAGCACCAGCTCTCCTTGTTAGGCTGAAGGGCACTAATTAGGGCTGAAGAGCAGGAATTCCACTTGATTCTTGCTCTCAAAATGGGGTTCTTGGCAGTTACCAGAGAATTCTCTGCTTCTCCCCTGTGCCAAGAGTAAGCTGGAGATRGTGCTCAGGGAGGGAGCTGGTGTATGATGCTGCATCCCTGCTCTGTGTGCAGGATCCCAAGTACCCAGAGGAGAATCTGCTGAGTGAGGATAGCATTTGGCCCTGGCTTGGCTGCCCCAAGGGGCACAGCAGGCACCTGAGTGTGGAGCTGCAGCTGGAGAGAGCCTGTCCCATTGGCTACATTGACGTTGGTACTTACCTGTCCCCCACCCCTGTGCAGGAGCCAGGGCTGTGCCCCATGAGGGGGATCAGTAGCTCTGAATCGCCTTCCCTCACTGTCCTTCTTGCTGCTCCCCAGGGAACTACGGCTGTGCCTTTCTGCAGATTGAGGCCTGCTCATGGCCCCCTGACCAGCCCTATYTCACCTTGGTGTCACACTGAAGACACCAGCTGACTCAAAGCTGGACCAGAATCGGATATTTAAGGAAGGTAAGGATTAATCTGACGGAAAAAGGCATGGGGAAGAGGTGTGGGCCTGATGGTGGGATGGTACTGACTAAGGGGGTTGGTGATGCACTGGGACTGGCTGGGAGGTGGGCAGTAGAATGTGGCTGATGGGAGGGTAGAAAGAGACAGGTAGACGAGGGATCAGGGTTGTTCATGGCTTCACAAGGGTTGTACCAGCTCTGCTTCCCTGCCCTGACCTCTCTTATGACTGTAATCCCTCAGATGTCCTGGGTGGCACAGCAACAGATCAACAAGCATGCRTGGGAGCGGTTTTGGGACAGTGGTCACTGCTGTGCCCCCTCCATCGCGGCTGCTCTCTCCCATAGCAGATGTCCCAGAGCTGATGGTGGGGCAGAAGTGGCACTGCATGCTGCTCACCTGCAGCCAGCCCTTCAGTCCACGCARCCGCTTCGGGGTCTCCTTCATTGGGTTGTGCACCACAGGAGCAGGAGCCTGAGCCTCCCCAGCCACTGCTGGGCCYGGTAGGTGCCTCTCACACTTCCACATACCCCTCTCTGTGGGGAGGCAGCAGGAACGGGCCGCTCTTCCACAGATACCACTTGTGGCCCATAGAAAGCACAGGAGGTGCTTGCTGGGCTGAACCAGGGGCTGTGTGCAGAGTGGTGGGCACAAGGTACCTGTCTTGACCGTCTGGGGCCTCCCCTTGTCCTGCAGGAGAATGCCGAGCTCTCAGACAAACCCTGGTGCTCCAGCCCTGCCTTTCACCAGACTTTCTTTCCTGAACCATGCTTGGCGAGTGGCCAGGTTTGGTCCATCCCAACCTGTCCCTGCACAGTGTGGCCTGGAGCCCCTTGAGGTGCTTCCTCAGAGCCCAGAGCCCCAGCTCCCACCAGCTTTCTCSTCCTGTGACGCTGACATTCCCTAACCCGAGGAGCAGCTGAGAAGCAGCCTCTGGAAGTTGGAAGGGGCTGCCTGGAGCCCGGCCCACCTCAGCTGCTTTGCCCAGATGGTGCTGTCAGCAGCATGGAACCAGGCACTAAAGCCCAGAGCCAGCACAAGAGCCCTGGGGTGTCATGCGGAGCTGCCAGCTGAAGACATGGGAGGTCCTGGGGTGCCAGGTGGGTGAACCTGCACAGCTGTGTCCTGGGCAGGCCCCCAGCCACTGTGGGCAGCAGGACAAGGGGGAGCTCTGCCCCTCTGCTCTGCTCAGGTGAGACCCCTACCTGCAGAGCTGCCTCCAGCTCTGGGACCCCCAGCATCAGAAGGGTGTGATGCTGCTAGAATGAGTCCAGAGGAGACCATGGAGATGCTCTTTGAGGGCTGGAGCCCCTCTGCTCTGGASATGGGCTCAGACATTCGGGGGTGTTCACCCTGGAGAAAAGTTCTGAGGAGAACTGACAGCCCCTTTCAGTGCCTAAAGGGGTTCCAAGAGAACTGGAGGGGGATCTTGGACAATGGCCTGGGAGGACAAGACAAGAGAATGGCTTCAAAGTGAGAGAGGATAGGGTTAGATGGGATATTATGATGAAATTCTTCCCTATGAGGGTAGTAAAATACTGGCACAGGTTGCTTAGAGCATCTGTGGCTGTCCCAGCCTTGCAAGTGTTCAAAGGTGAGGTTTCATGGGTCTTGGACYTACCTGGTTTAGTGAAGTGTCCCTGCCCATGGTGGGAGGGGCTTAGAACAAGATGAGCTTTAAAATCTCTTCCAGCCTRAACTGTCCTGTGTCCCATGATTCCTCCCTGCCTGCTGTTTCCCAGAGTCTGTACTGGATGTCCCTGTAGCCTTTCTGAGCACCTGCAGGCAGTTGGACAGGCACTGTGCTCCCAGCCCTGCTAGCAGGTAAACTCTCAAGTTGCTGTCTTCCTCCTGCCCTCACCCTGGCTCATCTAGCACTCTGTCTTTCCCAGATAGCTCTGGGTCTAGCCCTCRCTCTTTTGGGCTGGCAGAATGCCCTCAGCACGTGATCCCCTCTGCAGGGCTCCAGCTGCCACCTCAAGGCTACCAAAGATGAGAGGAAAAGCCCGAGCCCGTGGCCCCCAAGAGAAACGGGTCAGGAGGAGTGACAGGGGACAGGCCATCGGTGACGGGGAGACTGGCGTCTGTCCCATCTGCTCAGGTGGGTGCTTGGCAGGGGTGTCCCTGTGGCAAGGGGACAGTGAGCAACAAATGGGGATAGTAGTGACAGTTGCACAGCTGGGACACATCCCTCCTGCTGGTGCCCTGGCATCCAAGGGACATCACAGTGTATSCCTAGGCTGCTATGAGAAACCGTCAGGGAGGGTGTCAGTCCAAACCCTGCCACAACACCTTCCCTTTGCACAGGCTGCTTCCTGCTGGATCTGCTCCCCACACATGCCTCCCAGTGTGGAGAAGACCCTACTGCAGCCTGGCTTTTCTTGTCCCCGATGCCTGGGCGTCCTGCCCTATTGCCAGCTGTSCTGCGGAGTGGCAGAGACGGAGCAGAATGCCAGCAACTGTGGAGAGACACCAGGTGCTTTGTCCTCGCCCCAGTGCCTGCAGTAGGACAACAGTGCTGGCTGGGGACAAATCCTGTTGTCACCTCCCCTGGGGGCTGAAACCTGTAGTGCAGCAAGGGGCAGAGACACTGGAGCTCTGGGACATTTGTGGCAAGGCTGGTGTGAGGGTGGAGAACATGCTTCCCTCTTGCACCCCATGGCCAGGTTTGGTGGAGCTTGAAACACTGTAATGGTAGGAGTTGCTACTGGAGAAGAGTAAGTTAAAGGAGAGAAAGAAGAAAGAAATCTGCATTATGACTGCTTGGTGCCACAGTAGGTTCCCTGGGTGAGCATCCTGCCTTTGGACACCCTGCACAGCTGGTGTGATAGGACAAGGAAGAGGTCATGCTTTTCCTTCACTCAAATCCTGATAAGGGTTCCAGTGCATGTGGACCGTGGGAGGAGGAAGCCAGGACCATGAGAGCAGGTGAAAAATACACTTTATTTACAAGTAGAAACATTTAAAAATGCTGCCTCACCTTCCCTGGGAGGAGCAGGACAATGGGGCAGTGGAGGGGTCCCACACACAGGGAGCAGGGGAGGTGGCCCTAGGGAAGCTAAGTTTCCCCTCTGTCCCTGTGACTGAGGCTGCAGGGTAGTCCTGGGGAGAGTCAGTCCCTCCAGCCCCAGCCTGGTGCCAGCCCCTGCACCCATCTGTGTTTCCAGCCCTCAACCCCTGTGCATCCCCTGGCCTTGGGTCCCGGAAGGGTTTAGGGTGACAATGGGTGCAGGAAGGGCAAGGGGGCCCTTCCTTGTTGTCAGTGGGATGTGCAAGGCAGTCATACTGGGGGCCACGGCAGAGCCGGCAACGCAGGAACTGGGGAAACCTCAGGATCGCTCATCCTTGCGCGACTGGCGACTGACCTGGAAGTGACAGAGTGAAGAGGGGATGCTAAGGACCATGAACATCACCACGGCCGTGCTGGGACCTGCTGTTGCCATGGCACCCCAGGGACAGCCRGGGACTTTCCCCCTTTCTTCCATAGCCTACATGAACCCAGGGCAGGGGCTGCTGGGGGCATTGGGGTGAGCATGAGCTCTGAAGTGTGCGTGGGGTCAGGCAGTACGTACCTTCCCCTTGGGGGACTTGGCGGTGGCAATGCGGGATGAGCGGCGGGTGCCCCTGCTGGGGGAGGGTGTGGAAGTACTCCGGGTGACTGCCCGGCGCAGCAGGCGCCTCCCCAACTCTCTGGGGGTGTTGAGGATGTTGAATGCCATCGACTGGCGCCTCTGAGCCTGCAGAGGAAGGGCAGGACCATCAGCTCMGAGTGGGACAGGASAGAGGCACCCCTCCTGATGCCTATTTTTCCCTCTTGAGCTTACCTGCGTGGCTGGGGCTGGCTGCTCGCTCTCCTGACTGACCTGGGAGCCACTCTGCTCACTGCGGTCCTGGGTGGTYTGGGGCCGTGGGAAGCAGCTGGTTGGCTTCTTGGACTGGAAAAAAGGGTACTGTTATCAGGGGGCAACCCTGCTGTGGGGCTGGCAGCAATGAGGGAACTGAGGGGCTGCAGGGAGGGGATGGGAGCGAGAGCAGCAGTGCCCAGGAAARGCAGAAGGCTCAGCCCTTCACCTCTGGAATGGCCTCCATTGGGAGGAGTGCTTCTTGCCAGCACTAGGAGCATCAGGAATACTAGACACACCACTGGATGCTGGGAACACTGAGCATGGGGCTGTTACCCACAGGGCTACAGCAGCTCCCTCAAAACATGGAACACCTGCAGTTGTCCCCAGTGTAGGGTGCTGTGGTGTGGGGCTGGGTTGAGCTCACCGGGGGGGTGTCAGGGCCATGGTGGGTCTCCTCTGAGAGGCGCTTCCTCTGCTGCCGGGTRGTGATGCTTCTGGCCTGGGTGCCTGCCTCCCTGCCGGCGGCAATGATCTGGGAGGGCTGCATGCTGGCACGTCGCAGTGTCTCTTCTGGGTCACCCATCTTCATGTCCTCATCCGTGATTCTTCCCAAGGAGGTGGAGGGCTGGGGAGGGGAAGTGGGGATGTTGCCAAGGGGTACTGTCTGTTCCCAGACCCCCTCCCAAACCCCAGTTCTGGAAAAGGGGCTGCCTGSTCTCTCTGTCCCCCTCCTTACCATGCTCTCTAGGGGGTAGCTGGTCTTCAGGTGYGGTGGGCGGGCCTGATTCCGTCGCTGCAGCTCCGCAATGCGGTTCCAGTCATCCAGCTGCTCTGGCTCATCCTGGCACATGCCCAGGCTTATGGTATTCCGGCCTAAATCCAAAGCAGGGAAGTATGAGCAGAGTCCCATGTAAGAATTGGCTCCCCCGAAGCCGGGCAGAACTTTACAGGCAGCAGCCCAAGTGCCTACCCTGCCCACACATACCGAGGCTGGAGCTGCTGATCCCCTGCAAGCGCAGGGAGCTGCGGGTGACCGGCCGGTACCCAGGGAGGCCCAACAGAGCTGAATCGCCAGGGGTCTTCTCKGGGGAGGAGGTTTCCAGCTTCGCAAGACTTTCCTGGGAGGGGAAGCTGGTGAGGGAGCGGGTGGAGACACCTGAGCGCAGACGGCCCTTAGCAGGYGAAGTTTTTGTGGACTGAGCCAATGGGACGTTCTTGACGCGGACTAGTTCCTCAGACTCAGCCTGTTTCTGAGAAAAAAAAATCCAGAGATGAGGGGATCACAGGTGGGTTTAGGCTGAAGGGACCTCAAAGCTTATTTCCTTCCACCCCCTTCCCTTCACTGGGACACCTTCCACTAGACCAGGTTGCTCTAAGCCATATCCAACCTGGCCTGAAGCATTTCCAGGGATGGGGCAGCTAAAGCTGCTCTGGGCAACTATTGCCAGGATCTCACCACCTTCACCGGAAGAATTTCTTCTCAATATCCCATCTAACCCTGTCCTCTGTTAGTTTGAAGCCAYTCCTCCTGTCACTTCAAGCCCTTGTTTAAAGTCCCTCTCCAGCTCTGTTGGACCTCCTTTAGGCATTGGAATGGGCTCTTAAGGTTTCCCTTGAGCCTTCTTTTCTCCAGGCTGATCACCCCCAGATGTCCCAGCCTGTCTCCAGAGCAGAGGAACTCCAGCCCTTGGAGCATCACCCCAGCCTCTGTACTCGCTCCAGCAGCTCCATGCCCTTCTGATGTTGGATCCCAGAGCTGGAGGCAGCCCTGCAGGTGGGGTCTCCACAGAGTGGTGCAGAGGGGCAGAATTCCCACCTAGCCCTGCTGCTGCCCACTGTGCTGGGGATCAGCTGAGGACATGGTTGGACTTTAGCCCRCTAATACACATTGACAGGTCATGTTCAGCTTTTCAGCTCCCAGCATGCTGGGTCCCCCTGCAGTGCTGCTCCTGATCCCTGCCTTCCCCAGCAGGGCCCCCTGCTCACATCTGTCATGGTAATTTTGATGGTGGTGCGGCGCCGGGCTGAGCGGGTCTTGCACCCGTAGTCGAATAAGAAGTCACCGGGGGAGTTGGCGCTGCTCTTCAGCTGTGACGGCGTCTCACGGAGGACAGGGGTGAAGTAGAGACTCTCCCGGGATGACTCCCCATGGGGCAGCCGCTGAGATGGCGGTGACCCTTCACTGTCTGGTGGCACTGAGACTTCCAACTGAGAGCTGGTAGCTTCCCTAGAGACAGGGGACAAGGGTAGTACCAGCAGGCTTACCAGGCCATGAGAAACAGTGGATTTTTGGGGTGCTGGAAGCAGATCAATCTGGTACCTGGTGGAGTCAAGCAGCTGTGACTCTTCGAGGCTATCAGTGCTCTGGTCAGCCACTTTCTGGTAGAAAGTCTCCTGTCCCTTCACTGTGGCAGTCCTCACCTGGAACTTGCTGAGCTCCCGCACCTGGCGTTTGGCATCTTCCACCTGGATRAGAAGCAGGGAGGAATGGGTGCATCTACCCTCCAAGTGAGGTGGTGGTGGAAGTGAGGACAAGGAGGCCGAAGCCCCACTGTRCCATGCCTACCTGAGCTTCCAGGCTATGGATCTGGCTGGTAAGATTCTTGCAGCTCATCTCAGACTCTTTGGCCTGCAGAATGCTCTGCTGTAGCTCCTTGGCCAGCCTCTCTGATTTGCTCTGAAGCTCTGTGTTCTCCTTCTGCAAGTGCTCCGTGGCCTTCAGCTTCTCTGCTAGCTCCTGGTTCTCTTGCTTCTTGGCATCATAATTACTTTTTGCCTTCTCCATCTAGGATGTCAAGCAGAAAAGTCCTGTCAAGTGTCCCAGCAGTGTCAGGGACAACAGGGCCATACCAGCCCCCAGCATACCTGTCCTTTGTAATGCTCAGCTGCCCGTTCCTTTTGGGTGAGCTGCACCTGCAGCTCTGCCACCTTCTCCTGCTGGCTGTTGACTGCTGCCTGCAGCTCCCCTTCGAGTGCCTGGGGGCAGGGAACAGACTGGCTTAAAGGCAACCTGGGTGAGGGCCCTGGCAGCACCAGYACCAACAGCTCCAGGGCTCAGCCCCCTGGTTTTTGGTTCCTTTTTACCTTAACTCTCTGCTGCTGGGTCCAGGTGGCCTTCTCGTGCTGAGCCAGCTTTTTATTCAGCTCCTCCACCTGGAAGAACATGGCTTGGTGAGACCAGCTCCAGGAACAAACCTACAGTCTTCCTGTAGAGRAGCACATCCCTCCTCTCTAACCAGCGCCAGGTCATAACAAGGAGCTTTTCTGCCCCAGGGGRCCATGCAGCACCACCCACTGCCAAGGAAGATCCCAGGGACATGGCAAGGTGACAGTGACCCCACRTCAGTCCTTACAGCAAGGTTGGTTGGAACTACCCAGGCATAAAAAGCAGCCACATGCTGGAAGCAAAGCTGGTGTTAAGTTCCCAGTATCCCACATTTGCAACCTCGGGTCCCACAAGATGGCTCACGCAAGTTCTGGCCTGGCCATGCTTTCTCTGCTCCAGGAGAGCAGAGGAGTTTGGGGAGCCCCCAGGTTATGGCCACAAGGCCTCTGCAGAGTCCTGAGCAGCTCTGGCTGGAACTGGGCAGGGAAACGGGGCTTTTGCAGCATTGTTTCCCAAGTGCTAAATCCTGGCACATTAGAGATCCATGCTGCTCTAGGCACATCTGGACCATGCTGAGTGTAGCTGTTCCTACCAGCTGTGCCAAGAGGTGCTAGAGAGGGGGAGGGAAAGCTATCACAGGAGTGACAGTCCTACACTGAGGAGCCCTGGATGCTCCTGGCAGCCACTTGCCGCATCTGATGCCAAGCGGCATGTGAGAAGCCATGCCAAGTCGCAGGCACCAATATAAGGGGACAGGTGGCAAGTTCCACCCCTGGGGTGGAAGATGCCCAGAGATCCGGAGCCAGGTGCTCCACGACTGGGTCCATACTGTGAACAGTTCACAAGAGAAGTGGGTGGCTGCAGTGGGAACTGGCAACAAGGAGGGCTGTGCACTGTCACCAAGCAGCCAAGCACTTGGTGCACATTACCT